TAACCCAATATATTCACAAGACTATCATTTCAACATCTGCTCAATGTAGAATGTTACTGTGCAATGTTTTACATTCTTGTCTTTATACTAGGTCCTGGGCACATTCTAGATATTGCATCCCTTCCACAGTATGACTTATTTGGTGTTAACTCTTCATTAATTCAATGTGGGCCTACCAAAATAACTTCATGACAATTCTTCTGGGTTGTGCTTAAGAACAAAATATTTTATACTTCTCTTCTTTTTAAAATTTCATTTTACTTACATAAATTTGAAACTGAGTCCCTCTACTACAGCAGTGCCATTTCTAATACTTGAAGGCACGGGTGGCTCCAACCACCACACTGGACAGGACGGGGTGACAGAAGCACACTCCCACCCCTAACTTTGTTGTCTTTCCTGGGTAAAGGATGGAGACCATTAGGAAACACCAAAAAATGGGAAAAGAAAAGTCACTGGTAAAATATCTTTAGCAAACACAGTGCTCTTAAGTTCCAATGCAAACCGAAGGTGTCGTTTGTGTAACATTTGTATTCTGATTCTGAAGTAGAAAATCAATTTTCACAGGGGAAGTAGAGTTTGAAATGCAAAATCTATGATGTCAGGAGATGATTTAAGGAGTGGTTCCTACTTCACAGTTTGGAAACCCCATAGATATGATAGGAAACAATGTTTTATATAAGTTGGAATTACTCAAGTGAGCCTTGATAAAGTTGCCAGGAAACTCTTCAATTTTATACAGAAACCAGCTGTCAAAAGTCAAAATGTTCACGCTAAGGAAACGAAGGGAGTAGTGTGAAAAAAACAACACTGGAATAAAAAAATAATGGAGATTGAGAGGTTATAGGGAGAAGTAAGCACATGAAATTGTCTAACCCTTATGCAGATACATCTGACTTACATACTGTCCTCTGCTGCAGAGAGGAGCAGCAAATATTTAACTGTAAAGAGAGCCAAATGGCAGGAAAGAGGACGACGAGAACAGAGAAATCATAATCTGCAAGGAAGACGTGGTTGTGGCTACATAAAAAAGATCTTAGGTCCTATGACCACTCCCCAGTGATAAACAACCTTCATTCTATGGATGGACAATGAAGTATAGGTTTTTGTATATTTTTTACATTTCATCAATACTGTAAATATAATATCATTCAGTAAAGTAAGTTGAAAGCAGTAAAACAGATTACTTTAATGTGTCAGATGCTTAGAGAAAGCTGTAGACCCAGAAGATAAAGGGCAAACCAGGAGCACTAAGAGAGACCGGAGCTGGGCAGAGACAGAGACCAGGTCTTTCTTTCTTACATTGCAGGGTTCCCCTAGTTTCACTTTAAAATGCCATTGTGTGTTCCATTTCAGAACAAGATGGCAAGTGAACACAATGCACTCGGACCCCACTTCCTGCTCAGCTGAGCTCCACTTCCGCTCACGGTGGCTTCTGTTTCCCCAGTCTCCTCCCATCCTCTCTCCATCACCTGCTCTGGGCCACAACAATAGTCCATGTGATTTGCATTCCAATTCCATAAAAAGAAACAAATCCTATCTCCATTCCTGGGGTGCCACATAGTCAGATGATTTATGATAAATGGAATTCAGATGCAACCTGAGAAAAAATATTCCTTTATGCATTACATTAACGACGTTAAAACACACATCCATTTTCCTCAGTTTATAGTCACCTGCCCTTATTTTTGAGAAAATGAGAGGATGTGGTCGCCGGGATGCTGCAGAGGTCAGGACAGAGGACACAGGACAGAGAAAAGCCTGAAGACCCAGCACAGGAAGACACAAGGACCCTAACCGCCGGCCGCCCTCCACCTGAGGTTCTGTTCTCACAGGCTTGTGTGGAACACGCTTGTTCTCGAACACCCAAGAGGGCTGGGATGAGGGAGAGGGGCTGTAGTTCAGGCACAGGCAACATCTACATTAACAGCTGACATTCTTCAAAGTTAATACTGTTCAGACAGACAGCGAGGGGCTGTGGCATTTCTGGTGGCTTTGACACGGGGTGACAGATGAATTTTGTCATGACCTTTTCTAATTTATAAAAGCAGCTTGATTTCCTGCAGCATTTTTATACTTTCTCCCTCCCAAACTGCATTCATAACGCTCTCCTCTCTCGCATCCTGTCTCGGCTACAGAGGCCTGTCTAGCTGCATGGTGTCTGAGGCCATTATTGCCGAGCGGAGCTGAGGCTTCGGTAGCACTTGCTGCACTGGCACTGGGGCCCTTCCCAATGGGGTGCAGTTTCTTTCCTTGCTCCTCCCTCACTGTGCCCCCTCATGGCGCCCACTGGAGCCCAGCTGCCCCTTGCTCTTCTACACCTGCCACCCCTGTAGACTCACCTGGACACACGTTCCCCACCTCCCTGGCCTGGGTCCTACCCACCAGCTCCACTGTGTGCTTGATCCTGGAGTTTTGACACCTCATACATTCACCTAACTTTCATTCACCGCAAAACTTTTCCAGCCCTGTTTCCAGCTGTAGGGATTGCAGTAGTGGGAAGAACTCACTGATTCCCTTGCACTTATTTTGGATCTGAAGTCCTGTAGTAAATAATGCAAAGCATGCCCTTTTAATCCCACCTATTTTGTTAGGTAATTATTTGGGGCCTGACTTTCAGCCTTTCTGCTGGGACATTGATAAGAACAGATCCAAATCGGGTAAATCTCTTATCTCCATGGTTACCTTAGCTGGTACAAAGTAAATGTTCAATAAATATCAGTGATACATGCCAATAATCACCCAAATCCACAGGAGAAGATCCTCACTAGCTTTTACTGCAACAACTCCAACTGTTTCTATTCTTTCCTCTGCAGATAATTTGGTGGAGTTTTTACAGCTAACTTTGTCCTAATAGTCATGTACCAGGCTTCTGAATTTCCATCTTTACTTTATCCTCCTTTTTTCTCATGACGCACAATCCAATTTGCTTGAGTAACTTCATTCATGAGACAAATCAACTAAATCTTAGTTTAATAAAAAATGCCTATTATGTATGATTCTCTCATTACTTACATCAAATACTTGAATGCAATTGTCTGCATGTTTTTACATAAATTATGTTTGCTGCAATACACTAGATTTTGTGTTCTTCTTTGTGTAATGGAATAATCACCATCCTTCATTAGATAGATAATCATAGTTCAATATCACCAAAGAAATAGATGATATTTTCAAACAAAGTGAAAACACTGTGTATTGTTTAAATTATCTCTTTGCAGGAAGAGGCTTCCAAGGGTAGCTTATCATGAAATCATTTCAGAAGGTGAGCAACTCCCTGATATTTGAAAATGTGTGTATTTTCCTTTCAAATAGGTGAAATGCAGCTCCATCTAAAATAAAATACTGGACCTAGCTTATGAGTTGAGATCCATGCTGTCTACAAGAATGTCCAGAATCTCCTTTCTCACTCTGCACCATTCAGTAAGCACTGGACATATGGGGTTGGTTGCTGTTCCCTGGAAATATGGCTATATCAGGGCTCCCCACCTCTACTGGACACACAGTCTAGACAGACATCAACTGTAGCACACCTATCCTCATGTGAATGGAAGAAGCCTGAGGATAGCAGTATTCCCTAGCTACTTCTTCTTTGGTGGAGAGGAAATTATAAAACCAGAACCCCATATATCTCAGAACCCTCCAAGATGGCGCCATGGATCCGTACTCCTGATAATTACACTGTTATTCCTCTGCCCACACAAAGTGTGGGCTGGACCAGGGCCTCACTTCTACCAGTCAGAATGTGGCTGAATATCTTCCGGGATTAGGTTATACTAAGGCTGTGGCTTTCACACCCTCTGTACCCCTTCCACTGGGAGAAACCAACTCCTGTGTCTGAGTTAGCCTGTTAAAATCATCCACCTGGTAAAGGCTGAGGGCTGCTAACAGCTGTAAGCACAGGACCAGAAGCAGAGCCCAGCCCCTCCACCTGCTGGGGTTCAGCCCACAACAGGTTAGCAGCTCCCAGAGGGACCCAAGGCGCGAGCCCAACAGCTCAGCCAACCTCGATCGATGACCAACACAAATTATGCAGTGACGAATGTTTCCTGCTTTCAGCCCCTAAGATTTCGTCACAAATAATTTTCATCTCAATTTCTTTTTACTTTTGAGAGAACCACAACACAGGAAGTAAATATTCAGTACTACAAACATGAGGTAAGCAGAGCTTGCACATATAAATGTAGAACATAGTTACATGTGAATTTCAGATAAATAACAACCTTTAATATCTGGAACATATTATACTTAAAACAAAACAAAACTTATGCTTCACCTGGTGTTCCAAAGTTAAATGCGCATCATCATCTCATCTTGAGCGAGTAACAGAAAGACACACCGAGATATTTTTATTTAGCAGATTAGGCACCAAGAGAGCTGAGCAGGCATTGTTACCAGGAGCAGAAGGAAGAAGGCTAAGTTGACTCAGGAGGCACACAAAAATAGTGGGAGAAGGAAACATTATCTCTTGTAGTTCATGAGGAAAGGCAGGCAATGTTATCACAACCTTACGTAAAGATGAGTGTCTAGGCCGGCATCTCATTATTCCTAGAGCCTCCTAGAAGCCCAGAGGCATTGACTGTCATTTCCGGGAGCCTAAAATAAGACCCTTAAGTAAGGGAATTTCTGGATTACTGAATTCAAGACCTTCTCAGACACTTTCATCATTTAAAGAGTAATTTAACTGGGCTTTAAAAATAACGTGAAATTTATTCACTCATGTAACCGAAAGCCTGCAAAATAGACTCGAGGCCTAACCTAACCCGATTTCACTTCTCGGGAATTCTGTCTTCCCGTGGTTTCATAACAGCAGCTTCAGTACATACTCAAACAGAGTATTCTGAAGTTCCTCAACGCGAAGGCAGAAATAAGCAAAATCACTACTTTGCGCTGTCCCGGAGTCTGCGCAAGGTGACCCGGCCTAGGGCGTGCTTCGAGCTCATTGGTGTAGACCTAGGTCACCTCCCTGCGACCGAGCCAATCACAGCCAAGGAGGAAGGCCGGCGGGCCTGACCTGGGAATGGAGGCACAACTTGCTGCAGGTCTCAGTAGGGAAGTCAGGACTGAGGGGGCCACAGGTACCCAGGCACAGGTGGGGCCTGGAGGCTGTGCTGAGCGCGTCCTGCAAACGGCGTGAAAGGGAACACACCTGAGCGCGAATCTGGGCTGAACTCTTCACCTCGCCACCTTTACATCGCATGCACCACATTTCCAAGGTACAGTCGGCTCTGTTTTACAGATTAAAATGAAATCTCAGAGGGTGTAAGTAGGTCCCTTGCCCGAGGGCTCACACCTTTAAAAGGGGGAAGAAATTCCACTCCCTGGCGTCTGTAATCCGCTGGCTGCGGTTCTCGTATTGTATTCGTAATAGGTTTGGAAGGTCATTAAGTCTGTGAGGCACTACAGGCATGTTCAAAAATCACACCCCACACCCACACCCCCGAAAAGATAGGCTCATAAATACGGCTGACATCCAAATCAGTGCGCTCTGCATCCATGTTTAACCACCACAGATTGATAATAGTTGAAAAGAATTCAGTTGATTTCAAAAGGCAAACTTGAATTTGCTGTGTGCCGTGCGCTCTGCTGAGTCCTTCTGTGAGGAGTTGTGTAGAGGCCAGAGCTCCTACAGCCCTCACTTCACGGCTTCCGGTCTCTCTCCAGCACTCCTGTTGGGGGCGCTGTTTCCCTCTGTCTCCTTTCTGTACTAAGTAGTTAGGCCTAGGATGATTGACTATTGCCTAAGAAATATGATGACAATCTACATAGCGCTACTGGTATTGACAAACTGCATGTGGGCTAGGGATGATGCAAGTGTTCAGGAGGGTGTGCGCTATGTTACGCTCAGGGCTGGGGAATCCACAGAGGTGGGTGTGCACGGAGGTTCCAGAAGGGATCTCCTCTGGGTACCAGTGAGCCACTCCAGAGCAGGACAGCATGGAGCCTGGCTGCCCACAGGATCCCTGAGGCCACTTTTATTATAACGAAAACCACGTCTGCCAGAAGAGAGGGTAGAATGGTAAATAACAGCCCTGTGCTAATATGTTCAGCCAGAGCTGATGGGGAAGGTGGAAGATTCTCCAGGACTTGTGCACCAGACAGATCACACACACACACACACACACACACACACACAACCACAATCATATAAAATATTGATGTTAATGAATATCACATGTGTCAGTCACATTCTGGTGTTTTTACATATCTAATGTCACTCTTTTAATTTAATATTGAAGTTCCTTAAATTATCACTGATGGCTGTTTGAGGCACTTACTGAGTTGGATCACCTTGTCTCCAGCTTTGCCACTTCAATCACCTTATATTTCCTTTACACTGAACCCTAGGCATTGTCCACTGACTTTTACTTTCCGCTTTCACGGATAAAGTCTGCCAAAAATAATATTATCTGAAGAATAACATAAGACCTTGACCATCAAGAAAGATCACTGTTGAAAAGTGATTTTTAATTACTACTTACTGGGGAAATTGAGCTCAAGTCACTAAGGTGATATTACAGTGTCAGCCTATGAAATAAAGCCATTTATATTTAATTAGCTGCAAGGTGAGGTTACATCCTTAGGACAGTCAGTACCCTGTTGTTTAGCTTAAGGTTATCTTTGTCACTTTCACCTGATTGCTATTTAATTGTGAAAGAATTGAGTTTGACCGTTTCTGTTTTTATGTAAAATACTGTTTTCTTGATGAGTAGAATTATTTTAATAGACACCCATCTTAAAATGACAAAAAGCATACAGTTTCATATATACATGTTGATTTTAAAACATGAGATGAATCAGAGAGACTCAATGAATAAATGTGACACCTGTGAGAACAGTGCTCAGGTTTGTTTGGGACAGGTGTTAAGAGGGCACAGATTATTAGATGATCAGCTAACTATTCTAGCATTATTTATGATGTTAAAGTTTGAAATCAGAAAGTTCTAATAATAGAGATGTGCACATACATATAGTGCTCCTGCCCAACAGTTTTATTGTCAACAAAGATGTTGCATTAAAAATAATTGGAAAATAACGTTACGTGGCAAGGAGGACACACAGTCATTTCTGTAATGATCATCGTGATAATGCAACAGGGTGAGACAACACTGTGCATGGGAGAAAACAAAGAATTGGCCAAGATGCTACCTCATGGGTCATGGCGCCTGGGGGATCTATATTTATTCACCTCCCTTCTCTGTAGGTCACTCTGCAGCGGCAGCCATCAGGCTGACGGGGGTGCATAACCTAAGGCAGCAGTTCTCGCCAGGGGCCCTCAACAAGCAGCAGCAGCAGCGTTGCTGGAACTTCTTAGAAATGCAGCCCTTTAGGTCCTGCATGAAATCATCAGCCTGTGCCTGTGTCTGAGCAGCCCTTGGCTAGCTCAAGGAAGGCCCGCAGGGGGTCTCTTGTCTCCTGAGCTCACAGGCAGGCTCGGCTGCTGCACCGGCTGATTCTTTTCCTAGCTCGGTTACATCCTGGGGAAGTCGGCCAGGTCTCCTGCCACAGCATCTTCAGGGCATCGAGGGACAGGAATAGAAATGGCTCCTCAGCTTCCGACCTTGCAAAGCATCAGGGATGCTCCCCCCCTGCAGACACCAAGTGTCCAGTGCAGCCTCGATTCATGCACCTGGGATGCAAGCTGCCCCTGAGGGAAGCCTAGCAGCCATGTCCATAGGCCATGACAGAAGGCCCTGGTGACTGGCTAGGCTGAGTGTTCTGCCCTGTAATAGCCTGAAGGCCTAGACTGCTCTCACTTGCTGCTTTGCTCTTCTCCCAGCTACAGATCTGTTAGCATCCAATGGCAAAGCCCTGACTCCAACTCCGTGCCACCACCACAAGGGGACAGCACTGCAGCCAGCCTGCCTGGGACACTGAGCCCCACTGCGTGTACAGGGTGCCCCTCTGCCTGCCGCTTCCAACCTATTAAGCGGGTTTAGAAACACCGCATGTGTCGGGGGATCTGCAGTCCTTGCTCAGCCCCTCTTGCTCCCAGGTCCCACATGGTGAGAGACTCAGCAAACGCCAACCTGGGCGTCCACATCACTGGCTGACTTCACTGTGGAAAATTATAAAGCAGTGTAAGTGTAACAACAGTTGGTGTTCTTATGCCTTCTTTTGTCATTTATACCTTCCTCTTATTTGCCGTTACTTTAGGATTCCTTTCCCTATAATAATTTCCTAGGCACGCACCTGCCTTCCTGTTCACCCAGGCTCCTCTACCTTTGCTGGGAGGTGTCCGTCACTCTCCGATTCTGCTGTGGACGCCGTCTAGGCTGAGCAGCACCCTGTGCCAGAGGAACTTGAGAACAGCAGATCCAATCCCACACCTGCCAGCCAAGACCCGGGGAAGGGAGGAGACTGCGCCCATTGTCAGTGAACTCGCTTCATGCAAACATCTCACAGACTCGGTCATTTCTTCAGGTCAGCACTACATTAACAGGACAGCTTCGTGTCTTCATAAGGCATTTCAAAAACTTAACAAACAACTATTATGATTCTTAAAAGCACGGACAAATGTCTTCATGGGGTATGATTTCAAAATATAGTGAATGCTGCTGCTGAGCTCCATCCAGTGGGAAGGCAGCCTTATAAAACATGACGCACTGGCCTCATCCAGTTTATTCACAGGACCTGGCCCCATGCAACTTCCGGCTCTTCTGCAAAGTCAAAATGACCATGAAGGGTGTTTTATATCAATTCAGGACACTGAGGAAGCCAGGACAGAGCAACTAAAGACACTTCCAAAAGGACTTCCAGAACTGCTTCAGAAAATGACCAGAATGATGGGATAAGTGTGTTCAAAGTGAGGACGAGTATTTTGAAAGAAACGAATTAGCAGTGTTTTTGACTCTAATAATTATTTTAAATTTAAAATTCACTATTTTTCCATCATACCTCATAATACTTAACTTGTGGCCATGTACATTTTGTACATTTATTTGCAAGATTTCAAGTTAGGAGACTGAGCTCCCATGTTTTGTCTGTACTAATCAGGAAATGATGGGATGGAAATACCTCGGCCAGCCAAGGTTCTGTGGTGTAACAGTGGAGGGTGGCTGAAAAGGACACGGAACCACAGTCACCAGATCCTAGAGCAGAACATCGGACACACTGTACATCCCAACACTCCACTGACCAACACGCGGTAGTGGGAATCAGCCCTTTATTTTGGTGTGTGTTTGAAAAATTAAATAAAACACTAAATATTAAACACACTTCCCATGAGCCATTGCTGATTTGAATTTGATATTCATTATGAATCAATAATAATAATTATATGCAATACTTATGGTGAAGCTGAACAGAAATGGAGTCATGTAGTTTATTACCTTTGAAACCTTAAATGGTGATACTTAAAGTTAATTTTTATTTATACCCTTGTCATTATGAGAAAAGTTATATATTAGACTAATATCAAGTCTACTCCTACTCTCTTTCAATACAATCTTCCCCAGATCATTCTACAAACAAAATGAACAAAAACTGCACAATTTCAATGAGATGGTATTAATTATTCAGTTGGTTCATTGTCTGTTTAGAAAATGCAGATTTTATTATGCATTAGTACAAATAAAATGATTAATTTTGCTTTGCCCCAAACAATTACAAGGTCATACCACAAGCAGAAGCATGAAGGTGAGACCAGAGCTCTGTTAGGCGACTGTCAGTGTGAGATGTTCATATTTACAAATATAGAATATTTAGAGATGTATTCCTGTATTTAACATCCTCCAAATCTCAAAAGCACCATGAAGTATGAGGCAGAACTAAGACAACAACCTGAAATAACTAAATAGACATATTAGTTGCCTTATGTTAGTTGGGTTCTTCATTTCAGTCTCAGTTTACATTTATATTGATGATAGCTAAGAAAACAACAAAAGAAACAAGAAGTTACTATCTACATCATCTGATAACAACAGGCATAAAATTCTGCGTGTGCACTTGGCTGCAGTAAATTTACTCTTCTTGTTTTCCAAGGCCCTAAGAATCTGCTGGTCCAAAGTGCATAATCTACTTATTTAAAGAATCAGTTAATGCTGAGCTTTCTTAGGCTACCTATATAATGGGATGACAAAATATGTACCTCAAATCATTGCTTTAATGATTAAGAATTATGTAACAACAGTATAATGTTTTACTGGCAATAGAGTGTAATAAATGCCTATTTGAATTCAGTAATATATGATCACAGAAAATCAAGGAGCCTTCTAATTCAAGAAAAAAATTAGGGATAAGAAAAGTGCTCTAATGTTTATCCACAGGAGTACATGTATTTTTATGTATTTACTATCCAGAAAAAAAAGGGTGAAACACACAAATTGTGAATTATTTTCACAATTTATTATTAGTAGTATAATAATAAAATATTATAATATTATGTTCACCTTATACATTATAAAGAAACCGAACAGCTACATGACTATCTTTTTTACTAGTAATATGCTGTCATAGTTAAAGTATGGGAGGGAAACACTGTCAAGTTCAAACATGCAAATGTGAATGTCATTCTAATTACCCAGATGGAAATTAACAGTGTTGTGCCCAGATCGCGAGGTCCCCAAAGACCACCAAGGAACCGATTCCGATGCAAACACACGAGGGTCATTTATTCAAGCTCGAGCAGGGACTCTCAACTGTCACCGACGCAGCGGGTCAAGATTGAGAGCCCTGACTCTAAAACACCAGGGGTTTTTACAGAGGTTACAGGAAGGTGCGGGGTTTCGAAAAGGCGCGGGGTTTCAAATCACACGCAAATCACACGATTGGCTAGCATTTAGCAAGTTTTAAAAGTTTAAACCTAATTGGCTGGGCCTTGTGCCCTGAACTGCAAACGGCTGCTCAAGTCATCGAAAAGAACATCTAGGATCCTGGGGTATTGGGGTAACTACTGATTAGCTGTTGCAGGTCATCGAGAAGAGCATCTGGGACATTGAGGCAGCTACCGATTAGCTGTCGCTAGGCTAGTTGCTAGGGGACTGCTGGACATTATCACAGGCAGGTGGCCAAAGTGCATCTTGTGGTTTTTCTTGGAACTAGAGTTTATGTCCAGGCCACCTTTACTCTAAAATGGGGTCAAATTTTTCAAATGGAGTCACTCAGGTCTCACAACAGCATCAAACTCAGTGCGGAGATGTGCATTTGAATGGGGAAGTGTAATTGAAGGTGCGAGTCAAATCTTAAAGTTAGCAAAGGAGGGTCCTAGATGACACAGAGAGGGCCCACAGGGCAGCCAGCAAGGGCTTCCGTGGTGCAGGAGGGGGCCCTGCTGGCTTCTGCCCACGTGGACACCTGCGGAAGGGCGCTTTCGGCCCACAGGTGCTGCGGGGGTACGTCTTTAAGAGCACTGCAGAAGTGTCTCATCAATACCAAGTGCCACACCGTCCTGGGAGGGACAGTTTAAGTGCAAAATAGGTACTTTGGAAAATGAAGTACAACTCCTAAAAACATTTACAATAAATCAAAAACTTGGGTTTTTTTAAAAGAAAAATAATGTGACAATAGGAGATTATGGAATAAAGATGTTTAAAATGAGTTAGTCATCAACAGAATGATTACTACTTAAGAAATAGGAAGAGCATCTTCACTGTTTCCATGGGGACTTTGATGACGGAAACGCCATAAAACCCTCCCCAGAGCACACCGTCCTGAGCTGCCCTGCCCTGGAGACACTCAGCTCTGGTCGCTCAGGTGCAGACTTTCTGGGTTGGTTATCATGTGGTATGCTAAGGCCAACCTTCCCCTAAGTCCAAATTTACAAGTGAGCTAAATTCCACTTACCTTAGTTAGCTCTTTCCAAATCTGCAAATTTACATACAATGGTTTAACAAAGAAGTTTGACAAAGAGAAAATTTTGGAATCATTGAATAACAGAGAACTTTGTAAATTGTCCTTTAAAAAACACTAAGAAGGTGATTAAGTCATTTGAACAACCTGCCCACATGTGGCTAGGACACCTTGCACTCCAGTGAGGACAGGCCCTGCAGGGGCTGCAGGCAGGCCATCCCTGCAAGGTGCGATCCACCAGATCAGTGCTGATAGCAATGGGACCTCAGCCAGCTTGGCCACGGTGCCCTTCAAAGTGACATATTAGACATGCTGCTGATAATTTCTAGAGATTGAGTAAAAAGCTATAGGCATATAAAAATGAAAGAAAGACCACACTTATAGAAAATGCTGTATTACATTAAATCTCCACCCATACGGGCAGAAGATTCTAGTTAAAAGCAAAGAGAAAGGTTGTTCTGCTAATTAGCATGGCCAATGTGCCCTGAATACCCAAGGGCTTCTGTCTGACCTCTGGAATCAGGGTTGGTCCAACAGTGAGTGCAGAGCACTTGAACATGAGCTATGGAGAACCTGCACTTTGCATCCATAGAGTCCAGAGCATATTAGTGCAAATAGACAAAAGCCACAGGTATATCCGCTGCTTCAGTGATGTCCATTGCAAACGTATCAAGGTAGCATCGAAGGGGCTCTGTAGGCAGAGCTTGGGCAGGGGCAGGTTCCTCACCTTTATGCCACCTGTAATCCATGTGGTCTGGGCTAATTATTTAGCCTCTGTGTCTCAGGCTCCCCATCACATGTGGCATAACATTAGTCCTGTCCTATCTTACTACAAAAGATTAAATGGCACAATGCTTGAAAAACTCGAAACAGTGCAATAAGCAGTGAACACTGTAAAATTTCATGCTTGAAAAATAATAGCTTTAAAAATAGTATACACTATCAAGTTTCAAGAGCACAGAGTCCATGTAGAGAATCAGCAAACACCTTTTCCTGAGTACAGATTGGAGAAAGGAGAATCACAGGCTGATTCTTTTACTTACAAATAGATCCACAGTATTCTATCTGCTGAGTCGGTGTGCACTTGTATGAGCTTACACATGACTTGGGATCTGAAGGAACTTCAATTACATGAAGTGACACAGTATGAACATCAGCAGTCATGGGAGTGCTGAGCAATGCCTGACTCGGCAGCACACACTTAGCTGTATGTGCCACATGGGCCCCGTCTTCGGGACACGCATCATTTGGAGATCAAGTGGACCCCACCAGAGCAGCTCTGCCGGGTGAGTGTCAGCAGCGCTCAGACCAGGGGTTCCCTAAATGCCCCTGAAGGAGCAGAGTGACGGTCCCTGCAGTACCGGCCTTCAAGAGGACAGCTTCATTATTTACCAATACCAAGTAGTTACCTTGGCTCTACAGCCCCTTGGCACATCTGCCTCCGGTCCAGAGTGGAATCCACACCTAACCATTGTGGATGTTTGTGATATACATTTATAGATGAAAGTCCAAAGGCACACACTTCTCAGGGGGACCTGAGTCTCTAGGTGCAGGGAGGGTGAGTGTCTGAGAAGTTGTCTCTTACAACGCACAAGCAGGCCATCAGCGTCACGCTGGAGAAGCAGCGTGGGGCACAGAGCAAAACGGGACCCAGAAGCTGCAGTGGCCTGGCAGACAAGACATGGGAAGTACAAGAGAGAACAGCCCACAGCCCGAGCTGAGTGTGGTGTCCCTGACCCATGTGTGATTCCAGACCTTGTTCTACATGCAGAGCCACTGCTTAGCTGGCCCTTGTCCCCTTGTGATAGGACCCTCTGGGCCCAGACTTCTCATTTGTACAACTGAATACTAAACAGGAAATCATGCAATTCAGTCACACACTCCGATAACTGTTCAGTAACTTTCCAGCGGCGTAAAAATATAACAGATAAGAGAATCAAGAATGCCAGTTTGTGAAAGGTGAATGAGCCCCATCTCAGCTTTCCAAGCCCTGAGGTTTCTCCCTGGTCCTGATTGTCAGAGTCCTCCTCAGCAAAATGAGCTAATTCATTTCACACTAAGAATAAACATTTTTTCTCCACAAGACTCAACCTGACAGGTTTGGCTTCCATAAACATGTTTACTCCTAAGAAAAGACTGTTTGTATGGTCCCTTAAAATCTGGGAGAATTTTGTGATGTTTCTTGGTTTTTTTTATTAACTTTTTTGTTAACTTTTTTTTTATTAACTTTTATTAACTTTTATTAATCTATTGCAACATTCTGGGAGATTTTTGAAGTTTAGTCAGAGAAAAGTTAATATGGAACTTCCACCCAGTGTGTGCTTATGGTAGAGATTTAAAAATGACTTTCAAGGGATTTTTTATAATTCTCCCACTCACAACTGGAAGAAACACAAGGATGCAAGGAGGGTGTGCTGGA